CTATTATTTGGTCACATTTCATCCTATAATTGTTTTTTATTTTTACGTATATGACTTTATAAAATGCAATGAATATTTTTTTTTTTACTTTTGAATACTTTGTTACCGTAGTAACGTATGTAATAATTGATTTACCAAATATGTTTATCATGCATTTGAGACATCTGACTTTCAACTTTTGGAAACAGTCATTGCCAATTGTTTGCTTTGCCGCAAATGTTAACTAGGGGGTTCTAAACATGTTAAAAAATGCCATTTTTCGAACTTTAAGACATGTTGCCATGGTAACTATAAAACATAGCAACCAATTTTTGCCTGATTTCAGTTCAGGGTATCAATGACTTTTATCATAGAGAGTTTGGAGAAATTCTGAGACTATGCGTGCCACAGCTCCTATATAAAATTTCAAATCATTACAGAGAATGGCTCTTAAATTTTCTGGGGGGATTATCTGTTTCGTGTCATCATCTTATTGAATTAATATTATGTTCTGCTTAAAGAAATTGTGTTTTGACATATCTATATTTTCAATAGATCATAATTAATTACTTTTATTATGAAAATATTACGAAAATAGAAGCAAGAAACAAATGGCGGGAAAATAGTTTATTTGGCAGCAAAATAAAGACTCTTCATCTACACAATGATAACATCATATAATAACAACAGGAAGTACACTGATATATAAGCCATTTTATGAATAGTCCTTACACAAACAATAAAATTGGGAAATCTCTATAACGTTAACAGATGAACCTTTCTACTTCACAGAGTCCTGCAACAATGAACACACGATAGTTAGTAAGCAGCTCATTACAATCATTAGACAACTATATATACTAGTACCTCAAAACTAAAACGAATATCGGGTAAAATATGTCAGTCTACATGTATTTTAACAGTTAACTTCAAACAATTTTTTTTTCAGAAGTCATTGGTTTTGGTGATTCCTACAAAAATGGATTCAGTCAAATGTAGATGGCCTAGATTTGAAATCCGGTGACTTTCTACAACCTTGTCTATCTGGAAGCTCGTTTAGGATTGGTCCTCTGTGTTTTCCTTGTCTTCACTGCACTGGCTGGTGGTGTGAGTCCTAGCAGAGGGGGCCTGTCAGAAAACAACCAAGAGATTAATAGTAAAGACACGAATCAAGAGGATAACAGACAACAACGCTCACCAAGAGGTCATCGTGAAAAACATTTGTATGGTTCACTTTAGTGCACGTGTAAACCAAATCGAGACAAGAAGACTTGATTTAAATTTCTTAGTAGGGCAAATTGACACGTGTGATCATTTTGGAGTATGGACCTCTTTCTGAAGGAACATAGAGGACCGAGAAAAAACTTTCGTTTGCAAAAATGATTATTTGCTATGCTTAGTGGTTTTGTATTATTTTGTAAAGATATTAAAATGCTATATTTATTGGTTTGGGTTTGAAAACCTATTAGTTTACGCTTGCTAAACTTAGTGGTTTCATGGGCTTTCTGCCAGTTTTGGTTTGTTGTTAATATACTTAGGTTTGTGCTTGCTGCACTCACTGGTTTTAGTTTAGTATTATGCTTACTGGTTTGGAGTTTGGACTTTCTACGCTCACTGAATTTAGTTTGTTATACTAATTGGTTAAGACTTCCTGCACTCACTGGTTTTGGTTTGCTAGACTCACTGGTTTTAGTTTGTCAATATTTGTTAATATTTACTTAAAGCTTGTGATTGCTGCTCTCACTGGTTTAGTTTTCTCACTTACTGGTTTGGGCTTGCTGCACTCGCTGGATTTGGCTTGCTATACTTACTGGATTAGACTTGCTATACTTACTGGTTTGGACTCGCTGCTCTCACTGGATTTGGCTTGCTATACTTACTGATTTGGGCTTGCTGCACTCGCTGGATTTGGCTTGCTATACTTACTGGTTTGGACTTGCTATACTTACTGGTTTGGACTCGCTGCACTCGCTGGATTTGGCTTGCTATACTTACTGGTTTGGACTTGTTGCACTCTCTGGTTTTGGCTTCCTATACTTACTGGTTTGGACTTGTTGCACTCTCTGGTTTTGGCTTCCTATACTTACTGGTTTGGGCTTGCTGCACTCGCTGGTTTTTGGCTTGCTATACTTATTGGTTTGGACTTCCTATACTTACTGGTTTGGACTTGCTGCACTCTCTCTGGTTTTTGGTTTGCTATACTTACTGGTGTGGACTTGCTGCACTCTCTCTGGTTTTTGGCTTGCTATACTTACTGGTGTGGACTTGCTGCACTCTCTCTGGTTTTTGGTTTCCTATATTATTGGTTTGGACTTGCTGCACAGTCTGGTTTTTGGCTTGCTGGTTTGGACTTGCTGCACTCCTTTTTGGTTTGTTAAGTACCAGTTTGTGCTTGCTGTCCTCACTGGATTTGGTTTGCTATTCTTGCTGGTTTGGACTTGCTGCACTCTGTGGTTTTTGGCTTGCTATACTTACTGGTTTGTACTTGCTGCACTCGCTGGATTTGGCTTGCTATACTTACTGGTTTAGACTTGCTATAGTTACTGGTTTGGACTTGTTGCACTCTCTGGTTTTGGCTTGCTATACTCACTGGTTTATACCTGCTGCTCTCACTGGATTTGGCTTGCTATACTTACTGGTGTGGACTTGCTGCACTATCTCTGGTTTTTGGCTTGCTATACTTACTGGTTTGGGCTTGGGTTCTAGGGTGGGATCTAGGATAATTTTTCCAATGTTTTTCCTATCCTGCATTTTCTGCATGGCTTCCCCAACCTTAATAAAAAAGAATAGAAAAAAAATCATGCAATGGTCAAGCCAGTTTGGCATATAACCTGATATGAATCTAATATCCAATTTTGAAAATATCAAAGAGGAAGTGTTTCTTGTGTCAATTTTCAGTGAGAAAACAAAATTTGACATACATCTTCAAATGCCCAGGCTGAGTCAATGACGGGTCTGATCTTGCCGTCTGAGTAGAGCTTGATGATCTTGTTCATGATTTCTCTAACGTACTGGTGCTGCCCCTGCTTATGTAGCAGGTGCCTGAGCTGGAATCCAGCGATGGTTTTGTTCTCGTCATACAGTTTGATGGGGCTTATTTTATCAACTTGCCACCACTTCAACAGCAAACAGGAAACAATTTAAATTTGGACATCAATTGTAAAGTAAAGAAAAAGACTGTATACATGCAGATTGAAACCTTATCTGTACATTTAAGAATAGCATAATTGTATCCAGTTTCACTAAATTTTACTGTCACTCATATATATGTTAAGAGAAGATAAACAGATGAAACAAATTGAAAATTTTCCTCTGCACAAAATATGTAAATAATACTGATAAGTTAAGTACATGTGTATACATCATATACATACTTACAGATTTTGCGAAGCTGAAAAAACTTTTAGTCTCCCCAGTCACAATGTTAGATGAACCTGTTTCAAGAAAAATTAAAGTTATGTGTTACAAAAAGTGATTTTTGAATATCATGGAGTATAGCTTTAAATTAATTTGATTTTTTTAAAAATAAAAGTATTATACAAATGTAGATATTTGACATTTGTCTTTATTTTTGTCCCTTTCATACAAACATCTATTCATTTTCTTTTTAATTTATAAAACACCTATTACATTGGAATGTTTATCATCTCTTAAATTTTTACCATATAAGATATATTTTCCCATGGGCTTCAGCAAGGATATCCCTTTATTGGCATCTTCTCCACACAAACAATCAAGGAATATATCCACTCCTTCTGGTGACAATCTAAAGAAACAAAAGTGAAGACGTGAAATGCCCTAATGAAGGTTCCACTTTGAGGGCTTTTCAATTGTAAATTCATTTCCGAATTTTTTGTAATTGTTGAAATTTTCAACTTTTCATTTCCGACCTTACGATTGGCCGTCTGTAGGTGGGTATTAGGCAATGAAAATAACACATTGGGGGTTGGATTCATAAAAGGCATTTTGTAGATTAAGATCAAGACGCTTAATGAAATATTCAATTGATACATGTATATAATAAAATGGTATAATATAACTTTCTGTGTAGTAAGACATAAAAAAAGATGCATTATTGTCAAATGTTGAGACAAATATAATCAAAACCGAAAGAAACAAAGTGCACCACTACTTCAATTTAAAATAAAATAGCTGTGAGAAAACAAGCACAGGTTCAAGAATTTTATGAGAAAAAGTTGAATTCTGCTGTAAAAATATAGAAGTGTAATGATTAGAATATTTGAAGACATGGTGTTACTTACATGTAAGTTTGGAGCAAAACATAACAAAAAAATTTTCAATGTCAGAAATAAATAATTTTACCTTCAGGATTTTGCCTGATGTCTACGATAAAGTACAAAAAATAAAAAATCGAAAAACAAATAATTTCTATACTATAAACAGGGATGGGAAATAGACTATACATTTCATCTGTAAAGTATCTTTCATGAATATGAATTTTCAAGGTGAAAGGGTCACTTACTTTCTGACTTCCTGTGGGTAGTCCACCACGTGATCGAACAAATGGTCCACATTGGCCTTTACTGATTCATGCTTCTGGTAGGAGGCGGTCCCAAACAGCTTGACATCCTCCATCATATGACAAAGCTGGGTCACGGCGATTCCCTAAAATATAAGATCCGCCTTAAACTCAAAATCACATAAACTGAAATTTCGGTAAGGAGAAGTCGAGATAGACCAGGGAAAAGTCACACTTTTGGAAAGAAATGTCGACAAAAAATTGAAGATTGGAAGTCCTGGAAAGAACAGTTAGGCGACGTACCACACCCCCTCCAACGGAATGGGTGAAGACGGACTGTCCTTGGCGGAGATTGGCGATGTCAAACAGCAGTATGTAGGCGGTCAGATAACTCATTGGGAGAGCGGCGCCGTCCTGGTAACTCATGTTCTCCGGCATCTTATAGACGTACTGGGAGGGGACGGCCACCACCTCGGACCACGCCTTGTAATCACAGAAACCAATCACGCGGTCACCGACCTAGAATCAAACGGGATGCATCTTTTAATATGAATAACATTGCGGTTAAATTTTGCAGAATTTTTTATATGCATTATGTAAAAGTGGATTTACCCTAACCCCAACTCAAGAGGTCAAATATTTAACAAGACAAATCATGCCTCTGCTGTTCTTAAGAAAAATTTTCCAGGTATGATAAATTTACAATCATTTCTCCAAC